GACCACTCGGCCAACGAGGCAATCTTTAAAAATTGAGAAATCCCAATAATATTGGAAATCGGGTATCCTGAGAATTGACCGTAATATTACTTGCTTGGCATTGGCACTCGATCAAGGAGACAGTAAAGTAATAGATATCCAATTAGAATATCTTTAACCCTATCTATAACTGCTCTAAAACTACTAGTTCAATACGATTGCTCGGAGTTCGTAAGATGCAGTATAACGAACATGATCCGATTATCTGATGCAGAGCTGCAGCTCTTTGGAGGCATTAAATTGAGTTTAAGAGTCGCGTCTGTGGAGACCAGGTCGCTTTTTACCAAGAACCGCATAAATAGATTCCCTTAGTCTCCACGAAGAGCGTCTATTTATGCAGTTTTTAAATTCGAATCAGTTCCTGTGAATGACTTTTATGGAGCATACTTTTCGAGTCGTTTAAATGATTCAATATTGAGCTTCGATTTTTAGAATTTTTAATAATAAATAGCATGGATTTTAATACGTGGCTGCTGGCCAGTGTATATCAAAAGGCTTGCCTTCTATTACGCGGAATTAATTGCAATTGGGAATATGTATGTATTTCATTTAATAAGTGTTCTTTAGTCTACCCCTTCGGAAAATTCACTGGTACGTACTGAAAGCGGATTTCGACCAACTGAATCGAAATACTCAGTACCGAATATTTTGGAATAGAATACCTTCATCCTTATTTCTGATGCTTTTTGTAGCGGTTACACAATTAGCCTGGCTAGCCAAATTCGAGTTCACTGAATACCATTTATTTACTTTTTATAATTAGAAAAACTTAATGTGAATAATTCGTGGTCTACCTTTAAATGCTCTTTCTTTACACCAATACCTTACACCGATACCACTATGAGACAATAATTAAAATCAAGCACATATCATTTATGTAGTACCTACAGACTGATATTAAAATGAACGTTATCATTAAATACTTTATTCAATTTACATAAATTTGTTTATGACGCACACAATAATATAAAATAAAGTATGGTAAATAATTATTTATTATATCCCGGATTAGTTAGGTTCATAAGTTTTATTCTGCATTTAAATATAATTTCATACATAAAAAACAATAATTGCGTTATATTTAAGTGATAATTCAGTTATAATTAATTATACAATCAACAGATAAACAAAATTATATTATACATCTTCAATCTGGCTTGTAAGGCTCACACAGCAGTTATTTAACTATAGCTATAAAAAAGTTTAAACATGATTATTTTTGTATTTATTACGTCTGGTTGTTCTTTCTTAACTCTTATTTGCCAAGACAAAGGGAGTACGCCAACAAAATTTAAAAATTGACAACACTTAATGCAAAACATTATGAATACTTTCATAAAATAATTTGAAACAAAACGTACTGTAATAAATATAAACGTGATTTGTAGCTTAACGACAAATTGGCACGTTCACTTACTTATATTTACAAATAAATACAATTTCATTATCACACTGCATTATAAAACTATGCGTGGTAGACAGGATTAATCATTTGATCTTACGGTATGGTATAGACCTGTCGCGGAGAACCTAACGGGTAACCGGGGCTCCGGCTCGACGTGCAGGAGAAGGAACGGGGTGGGTTTTAGTCAGTAAGAGTCTGACACTCCCTCCCGCCTCACCCAGGCGGGAGCAGTCATTCGATGATTTTCCCCCCTTAAAAAAAAAATGGTATAGACCTGATGGTAAGCAGTTGTCGCCACACAAGGACACAATGCAATACTAGATTTGTTACAAGTGTTTGCTAGTATTTTGGGAATTGATGATAAGTAAGTAGGCTGGGGATTGGGGATTGAGAATTGGGGATTGAGGATTGAGGATTGAAGATATTAGGGATATTAGGGATTGGGGCTAGGGATGGGGATTGGCGATTGGATATTGGGGTTTGTTATTTGGGGATTGGAATGGGGTATTGGGGATTCGGTATTGGGGTTTGGTGTTCGGGGTTTTGGGGATTAGGGATTGGGGAATTAAGATTGGGACACTAGGTATAGAGATACTGATTGGGGATTGGGCCGGATAGTAATGGGAATTAGAAATTACCTAAAGCCCATATCTGCGTGCATTTGAAATTCCTATTAGTCACAAGCACATTAACTGCCCGTTTCTAATTGATCGTAAATTATAATAGTCTATCTGAAATGACTACCGAATGTGTTCAATTAATTTAGAACTTCACCCTTAGCCTAACTAAGAACCTGAAACAGTTGTATAATAATTATTTTTAACCTGTATCTTTATTTTATTATCTTAACATTGTTCGTGAACAACACTACATTGCTTGGACTATAATTTCATTTTATATTTGTTCTCCTGAAGTAATGGTATTTACCAACAACAATATTGGAAACACATAATACCTTTCTACCACGCATTGCATTTTTAAACGTCAAAGTCATTTTGTGGTGGTTCCACGTCGCACTGTGGTTACTTTAGATGTTTTCGTGGTCCTAATGCGACTTCAAAGTTGCGAACATAACATCGCCACAAACGACAATCTGTTTTCACTTTTATCATAAATACACTGTCGTCAACCGCAAACGACTGACTCTGTTTTTCACTTGAATACCTTAATTTAATATTTATAACATTGTCTATTCTGTTTCCGCAAACAAAACAAAACTTTAAACAATCGTACAAAAGTTCTAAATTAATTTTCGCAGTCCATTGCTCGTTTTATACGAGTTAATCAACAGAAAGGTAATTGGAAAACGCATTGGATTGCAACAAAGGTTTAATCTCGATTCTTCGTGGTTCCTTTAGGTTTCTAGAGAATTTATTTACAATTATATTCTATCTAGAGGCGACTTCAAGTCAGTGGGGTCTCAACAAAGGCTAGCACTGCTTTCACTTCAGTCTTGTCACGTTTCGCGACACTGTGGTCTTTTAAAGCCATTTCTCAAGGATGGCGTTGTAGGTGTATTGAAACTGTTAGAAATGGGAAAATTTAAAGTGCACAAGTGTACTGGAAATACGTTTTGGATTTCTGTTATTGTAACTGGAACGGAAATTTCTTTTTGTTTTGATTGCTGTTTGTTGGCTGTAGGAAACGTTTGTGAAAATAAGGTGCGCACTCTACAATTCTACAGTTACCTGTATTAATGTAGGGCACGCTTTACGAATATTTAGTACTAACGCCTGTTTTTAAATGCTACTAGCAACTGCGGTTCTTCCCAGCGCCGTATAAATAACTTAGAATTCAGAAATTCTAATTAGGATTTACAAAATGAAAAGACGAAATAAAGAAACTGTTTAAGAATTAAGACTGGCTAATTAGAGTTCTAATTTTCCTTCTGTGATTTTCTTTTTCTAAATCTTTATTTGGAATTTAGATTAATGTAAGTAGGGGCTATAAATAAGTGGTATCTTGGAATGTAAGTGGGTATTAAAGAACTGAATCTTGCATCACTAAATTGTAATCGTTCTGGCAGAGTCGTGGGTTTTATATGTGTTTTTGGTTGTACATTTTATGTGGCTTGGCAACTTATCCGCGGAACAGTATCATAACAAAAGAGTTCAGAATAATTATGGGTATTTCCTTACATGGAACGGAATGTGATGGGAATAAATTGAAACCATGTTATTTTCTTGTACAGCTTCCAAATAAATAAAGTATAATAAAAGATGTAAACGATACTTATATATTTTTAAACGAAATATTAAAGTTTTAGACTTTGATGACTATGTAGATGCCAAAACCACTACATAATACAAAGTTATATACGAGTTATGAACTAAGATATACCTACTTATAAAAAAAGAAATTATTGAGTTTATAGTTTTTTTAAAGTAGAAAAAGAAATTATCGTTCCATACACTGACAGGCTAATTGTTATGATTGACATTATCTTTAAAAATATCACGTGATATAAAATGACGTCTTTTAGACATCAATAATTTTATTGAAAATAAAAATACTCTGTGGTAACAAGTACGTTAGCTTTTACAATTTACAGTATTGTAGTCAAAGAATAATTATAAAATGAAAGCAGTGCTACCCTAAAAACAATTAATAATAAATAACAATTGAGCAAAAGGCTTGATATATTCATGTAGTTTATCTAATTTAGAATGTTAGAGTTCGCGTGCTCATTAGAAACAGATTTAATTACGTGTACTTTTAGCCTCATGAAAATATATTATTTCTTTACATACTATAACAGATTTCACAGCAGAATATAAATAACTTTTTTACATAATAACCTTTGTGGTAGAAATGTCTGCGTTCATAGACTGTTTACATTTCTTTTTTAAATTTTTATTGCTCGTATTAGTCTGAAACGCGAGTACTGGCCTTAATTCCAATTGTTCTTTTTTATTTCGAAAATGGAATAGATGGATTTTTATTTGAAAAAGGGGCAAGGGCGAATCGTTTAGCGTTAAGCCTTGATAAAACATTTTTTTCGCTTCACAAAATTCGTAGTAACTTTTTAGGTGTATTTCATGATTGTAATGTATAAATCTGTCAGTTAATTAATTACAAAGTTGTAAGGCTTGGTATTGTGTGAATAACTAAGCTAGTTAAGCAACCCTTCTTATTAATTTGAATATGTTTGAGTAGGTTAACCGCAGCAGCTTAATTGGGTTGGATTTAAACTTACTATCGCCTCGCGACACTATTGTTGACAAAGTGTCGTTACTTAACTAACTTTGTATTGACGGGTTGTTATTTTAAATTAAGCAGGTTATACTTGAGCAATGAGTAATGAGTTCGGATCCCATACGAATTCACATATCTTTATTCACGTTCTAGATATGGGTTTAACTGTCTACTTGTTTATATTTCTCAACACTCACAACCCTGGTAAAAGTCATTTTATGAATCAACGTAAAAAAAAATATTTTATTTCTTCTTTCCATCCTATCCAAATCAAGATCTAGTGTTATAGTAATAAACGCACAAAATAAAATCATGTCAACTTACCAATTTAATAAAAATATATTAGTCTAGCTAAAATATGCCATAAGAAACACTATATAAAGTACACAATTCTTTAAACGCAGACATCTCAACAACTCGGCAACTTAACATATAACACTCACAGCTCCACGTTTGTCTGTTTGTCTGTCACAGTACACTAGTTACTTCACTAGCGAAGGCACTTGTCTTCTCACTAAAAATAACAACGTCCATAATGCAGTTTCCACCCGCAGTCGGGAACTACTGCTCGGTACCGCATCTGAGGAGAAAGGGGAGTATGTAAACCATTGTCTGATCAAGTGCGTGCTTGTTTGTTTCTCTGCTTGCTTTTGTTTTTTTGTGTGGTAATTAATGTTTGAATTGGATTCAGATTTGTATGTGTTGTGATTTTATTCATATCGATGTCATTAGAGTTTATGTCTACTGTGATTATTTAATGTATGTACCTAATTAATAAAATGAAAGGATGAGAGATAAGATAATTTAGTATAGATGTTGTTTCGAGTACGAATGAACCTGGAAGATAAAATTTAATAGTATGACCAAAGAATTAATTATTGGATTACAGTAAAGCAATTATTGTATATTGTATAACACATATAGTTACAATTATAGTACCTACACATACGCAAAATAATACTTATAATTTTGTATCGAAATATCAAGCTGAGAAATATCCAGATTACTTAATAAGAACTTTCACCAACAAGTAAGAGGAACATATGACAATTGTTTGTAAAATTTAGTTGTAATTTGAAACGAGCTGTCTACACAAAGACCTGCAATAATGACAGGCAACTGTCTTTTGCAATATGCTAATTGAATAGGCGATCATTGAACCGATAAAATGACGGCAGTTTATCAATTTTCTCTATCGGGAACGATGCCAACTATCGTGTGATTGTTATTTTTTCAACAACTGTGCCAATATCGAGAGGCCTAATTTCCAGATCAAATCTTTGCAGTTTTGTATCAAGTGTCTCCGGTGAATTGTTCGCAATTTGCTCTTGAATATTATTTAGGACTACGTTTTTCGTTTTGTGATTTAAATGTTTAGTGATTTGTTGGTAATTGTATATTATTATTGGTTGTATTTTGATAGGATTTCGTGTCCATTTTAGGATTTAATTACAACGTAATAACACATTCAACCCTAATAGCATTAGCAATTAGAATATACTGAACGTTCTTCTCGCGTATTAAAATATCAATATAAAAGCCACAACTTTCACTAACCTACACCACAAGTTTTACTTTCGAAGAGACTGAAATAACCGTAGAAATATTCGGCTATTTTTTCTCCCGTAACGTTTGGGTAAAAAAGGTAAAATTAGTTCGTGCCGCGGTAAAAGTATTAGCCAGTCAGCGAAGTGATAAGGGGTCTGAATTCCGGCCGTGTGCCCGACGCATACTTAAGTACCACCCACTTGTAGAGGATATTTTAATGCAACAGTACATAACTGTTGAAGGGATACGAGCAACCGATATATTATCCAAACATTGATTATAAAATCATGAGAAGTATGAAGAAAGTAAACACAATTTGGGATCCCTCGTGCCCAAGTTAATAAAGCATGAGTTTTCCTTATATATATGTCGAAAATTAAACTTAATAATACAACGATATATATGGCGCACGTCACATCCAGTAGATACGTCACGATCCGGAACGGAACCCCAACTCATTTACATAACAAATTCGAAAGAACGCCGCAAGATATCGCAGAAGGTATGTTTGATGTGGTTTGTTGGTTTATGTGTTGTTTCAGCAACGTCTTGGTGTATTGGCTTCGTACGTACAATTGATTGTCTTCTTATTTTTAGACTGAAGATTATAAGACTTGATGAATTTATATCTTACATTGTTATACATGATTTTTTTTTAATTGGGGAATAATCAATTAATTGCTTCTCCCGCCTTGGTGAAGCGGGAGGGAGTGTCAGATTGTTACTGACTAAAAACCATCCCGTTCCTACTCATGCGCTTCGTTAAGTTCTCCGCTGCGTCAAACATGGATAGCGTAACAAAATGTAGGCTCAAAGTCTAAGTTAGTTAAAGAGATACAAAAGAAAAGTTACAAAACAGAAATCCCATAAATACCTACATCTAGATGCAAAAAATTCTATAGATCTTCAATGTGAAGCTTCATATTTCATATGCGACCTTACTAACTTTACCAAACAGATTTTAGCTAATAACCCAGTAGCATTACATAATACATTACAGAGTACTTTATCGGCACTAAACACATTGCGTGAAGTTCACCTTCTGCGTGTATTCCTCCCATGACAAGATATAACGGTGGGTAAACACGATTTTTGCAACTTGATAATTACATTTGCGAAACTTTTCCATTTTATATCCGTCTGTCACCGGGGAGTGTAGTTTTATGGGCCATAACATAGGCATTCCGTGTGTGAAGGAATCCCATAAAAACTGGGTAAATACACCTATGCGGATTTGCTAATGTAGCTGTAAAATTTTGAAAGGGTAGGTCTTAAAACTGATTTAGATAGCTCAAAATGTAGGTACGTAGAATAAACATTATTGTAGGTGGATTTTAATATGTTAAGGTATGTATGTATGTGTGTCGTGAGTTAAAGGGAGATAAATTATAATTTAGATTGGTTTTTATACGTTGTGTATAATTTTCTGAGAATATTTTAGTATTGCTATCGAATTTAATCAGTGTTTTCTTACTTATGTACCTAATAATTTTATTGTTATTTATCAACTGAAAAAAAACTATCATATTTCGTACATATGGAAATTTTAGTACCTAGGTCTGTTATAAATATACATAACATAACATAATATCACGCCTTTTATCCCCGAAGGGGTAGGCAGAGGTGTACATTATGCCACTGTACAATGTAACACCCACTTTTCACAGTATATGTTATGAGTCCCATGTAATAGGGAGTGAGCCTATTGCCATACACCGGGCACAATTCCAGTCTCCGTGGTACTACTGAGAATTTTTTAAAACCCAGTAATACTTTGCCCGACCCGGGAATCGAGCCCGAAACCGCTTGCCCGGCAGTCGTACTTGCGACCACTCGGCAAACGAGGCAATTATAAATATAAAAGTTACGAATCTTTTCAGGATTATTTAAGTTGTACAAAAAGGTTGTCTAGACATCAATGTTAATTAATATTCAGTTGAATATTTACCTGTTATGTCAATAGTAATTATTTCAGGGCAAATGTCTATCCGCCCACCTTCTGTATACAATGAGGAACGTTAAGATAGTATTGTAACTTAATTATAGAAATATAAAGTAATGAAATTATCTACAAACATTAGTCGTTGTTTGATATTTTATATTATTTTTATTATGAGTGTAAGTCGATACTTGTCTTATTATTTATTACTTATAGTTTCCTGATTCAACTGCTGATTGACAGGTCTCCTTATACCTGAGAATTGTTACAAATCAAATTTATTTCAGTTTTCAAAGTCACCAGGAACATAACCGGTATCATTGCTAAATTTCAATCAGAGTCTAAAATACAGATTTTGATGTAGATATCTTAAATAAAGCAAAGAATATAATAAGAAGAACCTTTTCATCAAAACTTTCAAGCCATTTGTTACGTTTAACGAAAAAAAGAAAATAAGGCACGAACAAAAAGGCTATTTCAAGTCAACTCTAAATACTTTCAATGTTTACTTTTTATGAAAATTCCATTTTTTCCTAATACCTCAAAGAGCACGGAATTCTGTGGATTCCTTAGAGCAAGCCTCTTCCCTAAACGAGATTTTTAAGTCGCAAATATTTAAATTAAAAAAATAATCTTTTGCCTTTTAGGTCATTTTAGCACCACCTTTGGATAAAACCGACGGATTTAGGAAAAAGAACTAACTTCTCTTATAATCCAGGTTGAAATTACGACCTTTAGGAAAATGTGAACTTAATCATAATAACTGCTTTATAGGTCAAGTGGTCGGAATCTGGGCTACCGAGCCTGAAGTCCCAGGATTCAGTCATTCAATCAGGAAATATATTATTGCAACTTTTTTTTTTTGGAATCCTCAGTAATGTAATCACATTGAATTTGAGTTATAACCTTTTTGATGTATAACAATTAAATTCATAAGAAAACCATGGTAACACCATCATCGATCAGTTGCAAAGAGTCGAGATAGTATCACCTACATTTGATGTCGATTTTTAGACTCCTATCAATATTCGGTAAATCAGAAATGACTTCTGTAACAACCAACCTATGAGACAACCGATATACGAAACAAACACAGCTATAAACAATTGTATCTACAAATATATATGTATAACTACGGTGCAGTTGATAGGATGCGTAGTGGTGCACAACGGTATGTGACGTCACTTGTCACTACACTACAAAGTGGTGGAATTTTTTGTTCATTCTGATGTACGGTGTCACTTGCATAGAGCTAACTCAGTTCTATAGGTATGCGGGAGAATTTATCAGTAATCATTTGTAACTCAAATATACAGAGGGAAATTTATTTTCATTACAACAAGAATTTGTATCCTATAATGTGGCTGACGTTTTTCTCTTTGGGAAAAAGAGCAAGAATTGAAATTGTTGTTAGTCTGACTCATATTCCAAACCCAATTTATTTTGTTCAGTAGAACTTGTGACCAAATAATTGGTCTTGTCTCGATAATTTTGGTATGTACTAAATCAGTTGAAATTGTATACGTACAAAGTGTTTAAATTATTCGTACGTTTTTAAATATTCCTAGCATTTATTACGCAACAAATAAAAAACAAAATGAATTTATTCATCTGTCGCAGTCATGCGTCTATGCACTGATTTAGTGAAGTGCACCACTACCATATTCCACTAACATATTTTTTGTTTCCGAATACTAACCACCACACCAAATAATAGCGTAAACCTTTGTATCCACTAGGCAACATTTGACGCGTAACAAAACGCACAACGGCGTACAACGTTGCTAGTTGATGCACAACATTTTTTTTTTAAGGGTGGAAAATCATCGAATGGCTGCTCCCGCCTGGGTGAGGCGGGAGGGAGTTTCAGACTCTTACTGACTAAAAACCACCCCGTTCCTTCTCCTGCACGTCGAGCCGGAGCCCGGGTTACCCGTTAGGTTCTCCGCGACTCCGAAACGGCATCGGCCCTATTCGGCCCCATCTGTGGTGGTCTGATGGCTCTTTGAGGCGCGCGCGGAACGCGACGCGCCGTACGCTTGGGTCTGTTTCTGGCCAGACGGGGAGCCACTCATGCTCACCGTCCGCAGGCCCGCAATTACGGTGGCCGGAGATCGTCTCGCGATCCCCGACGCCCGGTGTGTCCTTCGCGATTGCTGGGTTTCGTGGAGGCAGCGCTTCGCTGCCTCACGCGTCCCGCCTCCTCCTTAGCTAGCGTGACTGTTTCGCAAAAGGAGGAGACGGCATCCCAGTCCCCCTTGCTCCGCATCATGGCCTGTACTTGGACCGGACGCGAGAGGTCGCCATCGCCGATCACTTCCCTGAGGGCACGGCGATGCTCAGCCCACGCAGGGCATTCTCCCACTGTGTGTTCCACCGTGTCCTCAGGGTGATGCACAACATAACATGTTTTGATGCAACATTCTTTTGAGCAACAAACTTTTGTCAAGGGATAATGTGACACGCATCATTATAATATTCTTTTTTTTTATGGGATACGCCGTAAACGAGCAGACGGATCACCTGATGGTAAGCAATCGGCGTCGACCATGGACACCTGGAACACCAGAGGCGTTACAAGTGCGTTACAAGCCTTCTGGATTAGGAATTTGAGGATTGTTGAGGATTCAGGGATTGGGGTAAGGGAGGGGGGTGGAGTAATTAGGCCTTCGGTAACCTCACTCACACGACGAAACACAACACAACGTTGTTTCACGTCGGTCTTCTGTGAGGCCTTGGTAGCACTCCGGTCGAGCCGGTTCATTCATGTCGAAGTATGGCTCTCTCATACTTAAAACACACTTATACTTATACTTGATAGGTTGTCGTTTGGCCACCATCTCGCCTGGTGGTAAGCGATGATGCAGCAGACGATGGAGCACGCCTACCTATGAGCAACATATTGCTGTATATCAAATGTTGCCTTGTCGATGCGAGACTTAAATCATTACTTATTTAGTACATAACGAGGTAATTAATGGAATATAACCATAAATATATAGGTAGGTACAAAGTAGCATCAAAGCTAAGCTAGGAATATTTAATGATTCTCCTTTATGTTGAACAGCGGGTGTAACGTAAAGACCTAATAAGAACACGTGTAACACGGTACCTTGCTTTACTCTAGATATTTGTATAATTAACTAGCTTACCTTTCATTGCTTTGTTTGTTTAGTTACGTGAGCTAGTACTGAGAACTGGAATTTTGGTTCATATTCTCGGTTGAAGAAAGGTTTACCAAAATTGAAAATACAGCTTGGATATCTTTGTGCTGCGAATGAGGTTTTAGTCATATTTCGTGTACAATTCAGATATCCTACACGAAATATGACTAAAACCTCATTCGCATATCCGTGTATGTACGAGTTATTAATAGTAGTTAACTCTACATTGATTTGTAGTGAAGATAAAGTTGTTATAGGAAACACATTCCACTCAAATAGACTAAGTATTTAGTTTATTGCAATTGAATTACAATATGAATGAAAGGTTATTATTTCTCTTAGTTGTTGATAGCTAGTTATCAGTTAACTATATTTTTATTTGGAATTCACGTTGTATTATTACACTAAATTGTACGCACGTCGTTAGCCTAAAGTAGGTTGCCGCGTAAACAGAAATGTGCGGTAGTAAAGCCGTACAATTCTTACATCAATTACTAAGTTTTGTATTTAGTATATTGATGTGGATGAAATGAAAGGGGTACAAGCGTAACGCTCTATGTAGAAAGCCAATACTTACTATTTTTACTAAACATATAAGAAGATATATGAGGTCTGGCGGCGACGTACAGCCGGACAGACATGCTGCGTACATGCGGCGGCCGCGTCGGTATCGTGGCCCGGCACCGCAGCGCCAGATACCCGCGGTGTGTCGGGTAATCGTCCGGGTAGACGTGCAGCGTCCGCCATGATGCGCGGAGACCGTCGCCGTCAGCGCCAGACACCACTGTGTCTGGTGTTATTAGTGGATCCTGGGGGAGAATGAGAAAATTAAATAAGTTGAATAATTTTGGTAAAAACTTCTCACACGACAATAGAATTTGAATTTGATATCTTATTTCATTTGTGTTGATGTTTCGGTCACCGGTCTTTTAACGTGGGACTTATAACAACTTATGAAATGTGGTTTTACATTGTACAGCGGCTTAAAATGTACTCTGCCGCCTTCAGAGATAAAAGTCATGTATAATGTTTGAGTTTTGCTTTTTGAACGATACTAAAAATCAACCGCATAACTTATTTTAAAACGACACAAACTCCACCCCAGTATGCTGAGTTCCAACTTACAAAGAGTGCACTTAATCCAGCCAAGTTACCGCTAACTTACAAAACTTGAGCTAGCACTTATAAATTCATAAAAATCTTCCCACAAAACCTTTTCCTTTAGAAATGCTTCATCGATGCCACAATAGTTTGCTATTATTGTTGTCGACGAATACAGAAACTTCGTCTTTGTGTCTGTTTGTCGGCAAACTGTGCACTTACGGGCAATTTCATCTCTTAAAACTTTCGCTCGAGCCACAAACTTGGGGAGCAAATTTCTGACCCGCATTCACTATTTTTCGAGATACGATTGATTGAATTATCCTATTGTGTTGTAGTTTTTCCAAGTGTTTCTTCTACCAGTCTTATATAAGTACAATGATTTATTAACTTAACTTCTGAGTATATTTTATTGTTTGTCAACTTTTATCTTATTTCTAGAATCTCGCTTTCCGACTATCAGAAATGGGGACATTATTTAATACTTTTCTATCTACTTACATACAAATCTCCAGAATTCTTTTGTGTCTATATATAGAACCGTACATGGACAATTTCTTAGGAATCTAATTTATGCTTTAGTAAATAAAGACACATCCAGAGTATTACCTATATTTTACTTATTCTATTTATATCGTCATATTTTCCAATAACGAGAATAAATCTTATACAACGAAGTTCGGTCTTCTGCTAATTGTACTTATAAGGCTTCTTGTCACAAAGCAAATCGGCTGACTAATCTGATAAAGAGTACATCTGCATATAAAGAAAAAAAGAAACACAGTTGTATTCGCTACGACACACACGTAGACAAGAACACAGGTACACACAAAAGTCTATGGTGTGTCACAGCGCAAAGGCCGGAGCTCAGCTCGGGCACGACGGCTCAGGCTAAAGAGACATCCTAATGCCTCCACAGTCATATGTACTCGGAATCTTATAAGACCATTGTCCTTTGTAGAGATTGCATTATCTGCGATTAGAGAAACTACATGGGTACTGTCTCATTTGTTGAGTGGCTACAAGCGTAAGTACCAAGCCAGGAGTCTTGGGCTTGATTCTTTAGTAGTATGTATAAGTGAGTTGCGACCTTTATTGGTCAATATCAAAATGTGGTTTAACCGGTATAAAGTGGGTGTTGCATTGTAAATGTGCATAATGCTTTCTAAAAGTAAACATTTGGACGTAATTCGACACCCACTCTTCTATCAGGGACTAACCGTGACTTATTATCTATATATTTGGCTGCATTGAAACTCGATATGTTGAAGATAGGTTCGTATTACATCGATTTAGTTTTGTCCATATTAATGTCGCACATAATTATAATTAATTAGCTATTATTAATTAGTGCTTAGTGATTCAAGATGTTATGTGGTTTGTACATACTATTACACACATATTAATATTTTTTATTCTAAGTAATTTTTGCAATGAAATATTTTGTCTATTATGTAGATTGACCAACTACTGAAACAATTAGGTTGGCAATAAAAAGAAACTCGAAAATCGCGTGTTACGAACATCGACTAATTTCCTAAAAATATATAAATTTGAAATATCATTACATTTGGAACGCGTTAATACCTACTTACTTATGTAACCTATTTTCTTCAATACCTACCTTATTATTATCTGATATGATATGAATCGTAACTATTAATTTATTAAAATTAAAAATAGATGTTTCTTTACTTGTCAAAAAGGTGAACAATAGCGATATGAGACACAAAAGTCTCAATGTTTAAACAGTTGAAGATCGATTGTCTTAGTATCGAGCAAAACTGATGGAAATGCTAATTACGAAAAGAAAAATATAAAAATTATAAAAATCCGGTTCTTTTAATCTATGAAATAAATCTTATAAATTAAAATCAATCTCTTAGCTAATTATAAATAAACTAATTCAGACATCGAGAACAAAAAATCGTAGAAACACATAAAAAATAGATACAGAAAAACCTTTCAAGTACACTTTGAAAGGCCTTAAAGGGCTCAATTTACCCTATCTCCTCGAAAGGGGTAAATTAAGGCTAAGAGTTTTTCCTCAAAACGAGGTCGAAATGTAAAAAGTGCCTTCAAAAGTCAACTGTTTAAATAGAAGAAAAAAAAATATTTGTAAGTCGGGTAACGTCTCGCGGCTCTTAGGAAATGGTTAGTATTCTGTGACCGTCTCGTGTTATATGCAAATAATGTGATCCATACATCGAGTCACTTTGTTGGACAACTCGCGAACGTGCCGAGTTGGTTTTGTGGCCCTACACAAAACCAACTGAGGCAAATAGATGCTGTTTGATAAGATCAACGAAAGTTTTTTTTTGTCTATAGGGAATAGCTTGTGTATATTGATTTTTGTGATGCTTTAATCTCCAGAGACAATCAGAGTTTTATATCATAAAATCTTTTTATATTGTACTAGAGAAAACATTATATTAAATCCCATTTTGAGCTTATCCTACACAAAATCAAATCATTTAGATATTAACATACAAATTCAAATCCAAATTAAATTAAGAAAATAGGTACAAAATGTATAAAATGAAATCCACATTTCTCCTGTATAATAAATCAACTAATCCCATTAAACTGATAAAACCCGTCACATTATACTAATGAAGTTGGACTTTTTTAACTGCTATCTATTACTTAGGGTCCGTCTGTCTGTCCTATCGGATCCGATAGCATTCGTGAGGAATGGATCCGGTTGGACCCGAGCTGACTCGGTCCCAGCCGAGCTCGAAGCCACCACTAATCTGATTCCGATACCCTCACAACTTTTATTCAAATGTAATGATGAAATAACTGAAGAAAGTACCTTTGAGTGGAAATAAAGTCTTCGTATTGATATTTAATCGGTTATGAAGTCTACGTATAGTTCAAGGTCAAATGTATTTGTTTTAATGGGAAGGGTGTATTATGGTTAATGGTTTATGAAATTAATGGTAATTGTGCAAGCATTTGCTGTTAATTGGTAATTCATTTTGATCTTTATCCCCATCCTTGAAGGCATTTCACGAAGGAACAGTTTACTCATTCACTAAACAATGATTCTACACGATAATTTTTTTTAAGGGATAAAATAATCCAATGTCTGCTGCCGCCTGGGTGAGGCGGGAGGGAGTGTCAGGCTCTTACTGACTAAAAACCACCCCGTTCCTTCTCCTGCACATCGAGCCGGGGCCCCGGTAACCCGTTAGGTTCTCCGCGACTCCACACGACAATAGATGCATATTTATAACCAAGAGCTAATTAGTACTCTTGATTTTAAAGTAGGTGTAGATTAGCTAGGATGCTGAATTCAGTAAGATTAGGTAGCAATTATAATATTTTCTTATGAAAGATCAAAACGTAGAAGGACGTAACTCATACATTCCAAATTGCTGACTTTATAATACAAAACTAGTACAACATTATATTAGAACAAAGATACCACCAATGTACTGAAACCAGTACGAATAAATCGTTTAGCTTAGTTAGCAGTAAAGTTAGACATTGTAAGCGGCTATAGCAAAGAGAGTACTAGTTAAATTCTCTGGCATTACCTGCTTAGTAACTATTTGCTTGAGGTACTCAAATACTTCAGTCTGGCTATTTAGAGTTGCAGGTGTACAAAGGAATACTTTGATTCTCTCATTCATTTGAGTGGATTGATACGTGTGTTCATACCATACCTTTTGCATAATCATTTATAACGCCTTTTATAATGGTACTTTGTTCTGATCGACTCGATAAGGTCTTGTCCATCAAATGTAATTATTAATTTACTTTTTTATGGCCGTAGACGAGCGGCCAGATAAACTAATGGTAAGCAATCGGCGCCGGCGGCGCCCATGGACACCCGGTACACCAGAGGCGTTATAAGAGCGTTACTAGCCTTTTGAGGATTTTGAATTTTAAGAATGTTAAGGATTCAGGGATTGAGGAGATTGAAGAAGAGGAGGGTAACCTCTATTAAACTCACAACACGACGAAACACAACACAAGCGTTATTTCACGTCGGTTTTCTGTGACGCCGTGATATTACTTCGGTCGAGTCAGCCCATTCGTGCCGAAGCATGCGAGCAAGCATTCATCTCGCACACTTACTCGTTAAAATTATCACATGCCGATTCAAGACAGCAAAGTAAATTGTATCATATCAAACACATAACACAGATTGATATAACAAAACCTGAAAATAAAAGAGTCTCACTGAAACAAACAGACATAAATATTTATTATAATGTTTGGGAAACCTCACAATAATCCACTTAGGCTTAGTTAATTTGTGTTGACCTCTGAGTAAAGTTGAGACGCGGACGTCTTTGATTCAATTATGTAATTTTACGATCATGTCCGCACACAAATTATACGTCCGTGAAACTCGTTTGGGTTTAGTGTAAGGATGGGCGTGCACTTGCCTGTTCTGTTTGTTATTGTAGTGTATTATTGATGATCAGAATGTCTTTATTAATGTTAGAAAATTTTATCCATAGCCAAAACATCACGCCTTTTATCCCCGAAGGAATAGGCAGAGGTGCACATTACAGTACTTAATGCCTCTGTATAAAGGAAAACTTAATTTTCACAATTACAATACAATAGGGTGTGAGCCTATTGCCATATATTGGGCACAATTCTAGACGACTCCGTAGTACTGAGATTTTTTTTAAATCCTTGTGACACTTTTGCATTTAGCATTTTTACCATTTAATAAATTGATTTTTCC